CGGCGCTCGGGGCCGCCGGGCACCCTGGACGCCTGGGCCGAGCCGCACCTGGAGCGTCTGCTGCGCGAGGTGAGGCGCTCGAGAGCGGGGCAGGGGTGGTCCCACCGGAATCCGGGGACGGGGGAGCTAGGGGAAGGTCAGTGCTCCGAGAGCCAGGGGCGGCGTGTCTGTTGCCCTGGGGAGGGGTCGCCCTGGGGCTGGGCGCTGTAGAGCACATCTAGGAGGCCCACACCCGGATGGAGACTGGGGCTGCCGACCCAGAGTGGTCCTGCTGTCTTTGCTCCTTCCTCAGAATCTTCTGCCAGGGTTTGCGGATAGGAGGAAAGAAAGCCAAAATAACCATTTAGGGGAAAAGCAGGGGAAGGGAAAATTAAGACCACAGACTTGGAGTAACTGTCCTGGGAGCTGGTCTTCTCAGTTGTGTGCACTCGGACACAGTACTTCCCGCCTGCGGTGGAGAGCCCCAGATAATGACAAGGCTCACGCTGGAAGTGTCTGCAGACTCTAGTTCCCATCACTGGTCTACCTGAAGCAGCCAGTGGCCACAGTAGAGGGAAACTTCAGACAAGCTTCAGGGTCTTGGAGGGGTCGCATTAGTCCTAGGTGCTAACTAAAGTTTGGAAACTAAAGTTTGGAAGCAGCTCCATCCTGGATATGCTGTGCCCCCAGGCTGCCTGACTGAGTGTGGTGTCCACATTAGCTGGGTAGGTTGAGGGGAAGTAAAAACAAGGCCCGACACCTGCATTCTGGTTTCGAGTGATGCCACCTGAGCAGTGCGGACGCATCACATCCTGAGTTGTCACACCTGCAATGCGAATTTGATCCATCTCCCAACCCCAGGTTGGTAATGTCCTGTGAGTCTCTGAGATTCATCTAAAGAGTTAGGATTGCTGTCTTCAGAGCAGGAGCCACATTTGGGACCTCAAAGTTGGTTTTAGTTTCCGAGTTTGGTGCATTAGTTCTCCCCATAGAACAGGAACAGGCACCAATGCACTGGCCAGAGCTGCTTTTGGCCTTGCCATCTCCCCTGCCTGAGTGGACTCTTCCTCTTGGGAAGGGTGGCTACCCAAGATCCCAAAGGACATCCTCAAGTGCTATAGGAAATGAGGCAAGTGTTTCATGGTAGAGGACAGGGAGGGCAGGCCAGTTACCACCAATTCCCTAAACCATAGCCTACTGTGATCCTTACTAATATGTCACACTGTGTAGAGCTGGAGGTGTAGCTTGGTGGTAGAGTGCTTCTTTAGCATGAGCGAGGCCCTGGGTTCCATCCACACCACCAAACATATATTGCACTCTGTATCCATTGTCAAGTTAATCTGGCATCTTAGGGAGAATGGAAGAACACATATCATACCTCCTTGTTCACCACACCTATTTCTTAATCACTTTAAGCCAGTTTTACATCTCTTTTACTTGATTCTGGGCAAAATTGCTGTTTCCTAAAATGATTTCCTCTCTTCCCCCTTGAAAGTGCCTACAGACTTCAAAAATTTCCCCGAAACCTGCTGGCAACTCCTGGCAATGGTTTTATAATTGCTGTCTATTATCTTTTGGCAAATCCCTAGAGACCAGGGTGTTGAATTGATTTATGGAGAGCCCGTAAAGTTTCTACCTGTGAAGGCTATAACTGCAGCTGTTCTTTCTACCATGAGGCCCTGCGGACTTAGTAAAAATAAACCACAAGCCCTTATTGAGTAAATCAGAAGACCTGGTAAAACCTTAAGAGGAACTTAACAAATTATGTCTGTACTAATAGGGATGGGGGGGTCTTGGGAAAGTAGCCACTGCTCAGAAATGTTGATTCTTTAGTCCTGAACTGCAGTGGGGAAAGACTACTTCATTACACTTCTGCCAGAATGTCACTTGGGTGGACTGTGGTGATTGAATAATGATTTAGAGGACAGAGATGGTTTAGTGGACAGAGCTCAGCTGCCCTCTCCTCCTCCTCTTCCTCCTCTCCCTCCTCCTTCTTTCTCCACCTACTATCCCCTCCCCTTCTCTCCTCCCTTTCTTCCTTTCTTTCTTTTCCCCCTCTCGCTCTCTACCACTCTTGATTAGAAAGGCAAAGGGAAATTTTAGAATCCTGAGATTCCCACTCAAGAGTTTGCTATACCCTTGGACACATCATACTACTAACTATGCAGAGTTCAGTATCTGGGGTACTTGTGTTGTGCTTGCCCACCTTGCCCTGCCAGTGGAGAGTCAGAGATGGCTCCATGTGGATGCCAGTTGGTATTGAGCTTCTGGTTACTGAGGTGTCCCCCATGAGTGGGCATCTCTCTTTCTGGACATTAATCAATTCTTGCTACTAGCTATGCTTCTTGTAAATGTCACTGGATAGGAAATGTACACAGCTTCATGACAGTGAGTTCCCTGGCTGAGATGAGGGTACAGTGAGAGGCCCATTATGGGGAACCAGTAATTGGCTTTAAATAGATGTGTAGTTAATTCTTTGAACCGCTAGATACAAAGGATAACTAAATATCAAACTAAAAATCTGTAAGGGAAGAATGTTTGTACTTGAACTTTTTTTTTTTTTCCTAAGCTCAGATTTGTTCTCAGTGGAGCCTCTTCTAAGTCAGTGCCGAAGCGATTATGTGTGAAGGTGCCTGTGGCTTGTCTTTTACCAACAAACTCATTTTCAGAGTATCAAAGGCAGAAACCCTGCCCAAATTTAAAAAAAAAAAAAATCCTTGCCAACCACACACAACTTTAATGTCAGGAAAAAGAAAAGAAAGCCAACAAAAGCCACTGTTAGGAGGAGACCCACTCTCCTTGTTCCCTTGGGAACAGAACTGTGACATAAATTTTTCTGGGACTGGCTGATGTGCCTGATAATGTAGATACAGAAGCTACAGAAAAGAAATATTCTTGTTATTGCTTGATTATTAAAGACCCTTCCCATGGAACAAAAGGGAATAAATGGTTTTGAGGATATAAACACAAAATTTCTGAGCAAGACCCATTCCTGATAGTGTCTTCAGTGTAATTTGAAAATATGGATATAAAACAAACATTTGACATTTCACTATGAAAGTGCTGGTAAGTAGGTTGCCTAATTAATCAGTCTTCTAGTTACTGTGTTACAAAACTAACACAAAAAGTGTTACAAAAGCTTAGGCTTTAAAGTGCATAGCTTTTATATTACAGTAAAAAAATTTAATGCAAGGATTAAAGAAATATTTAGTTGTATTCAGAGGAGACCATTTCCAGCTTACAATGGATTTATTGTTGGCTGTTGGCCTTCCATTGTCCAGACCAATCAGTTTGAAAACAAGAAAAGCCCAGAGACTGGGAATAAAATAAAAGTGCTTTCCTTTCCTACCATCAACTATGTATATTAGTGAAGTTTCCATCAAACTCAAAATCAGTTGTAGCCGTTCCAGCCTTTGTAGCAGTGTATCTACTTGTCAGGACAGCTCTGTGGTGTCCATTCTAATAAAGATGACTATTTTTTAATCCCTGCACAACTAGAGATAGAATGTAAATCATAACTACTTTTGTTTCTTTGGCATTTCTTGGCTCCCAAACCAAAAGAAAAAAAAAGTTTCCTTCCAATTACTTTCTGGCATGCTTACTTTCTCTCTCCACTCTTTTCTTGCCTTAAATTTTTTTTTTTATTTTAAAGGCCACAGTTTGGAAGAGCTTTATAATAATAGCAGCATGTGTAGAACAGGCCAACTGTTGGTGTGTTCTTTTCAGTTTTTGGAATTTTTGAGTTGGATGTTTCCACATTGGCTCTGAAGATTCAAGGCACAGCTCCTGAACCGGGGGACACCGTGAGCTGAGTGAATTCCTAACCAGGAGGCAGAGCAGGGCAGAGCAGATGCAGCTTCTCATCAGCTGGGGAGAGTTTCAGATCTGTCCCACTAGTTAGAGGTGTCATCCAGCCTCTTCAGCTTCCTGAGCCTCAGCTTCCTCCTCTATATGGTGGTTACCAGTCGTCACTGGTATTTCATTATAGTAATGGGAAATGAACTAGTACAGTCAATGTATATACTTTTGATGGCAGGTAATGGAATATCTGAGTGTGATTGCTTAAACATGACAGTCACTGAATTGTATAAGAAAAGCCTGGAAGAAAGTCAAGACATCTTGGGTTAGTTCAATGACTTGGTCACACCCGGGTGACAGATTGCATCTGCCATTCTCTTGTCCTTTCCTCATGAATGCAAGATGGCTGCTGTAGCTCCACACATGTGTCTTTAAACCAGAATAGCCAAGGTTGGGAAGGGACAAAGGAAAAAGCTTTTTGTGAAAATTTTTCTTTTATTTAAATCGGGGGAAAAACTTTCCCATCATCTTTCTGTAGAATTCTCTTATAGCCATCAGCCCAAACTAGGTCACATGGTCACCACCCTTTCACTGGCAAGGGTAATGGGGTTGCCAATAAAGAGGCTTTGGCCAATCTTGATTCATCGCCTGAGGCTGGGCACATTGCCACTGGAATAGAATTGAGGCTTTGTTAGGAAAGAAGACTGGGGATGGCTATTGGGGAGCAACCAAGAGTGTCAGCCAGGTCCTACAGAATGCTGTCACTACTGTCACTCCAGGGGAGGACAAGATGTCCTCCAAGGAGAAACGAGTCAATGACGGAGAGGCAGTCATTTTTTGTCCTGTCAACTTTAACAAGTCCATTTTCCTTTCACTTTGGTGTTTCCCAAACTCCACACTTTGGGAACACTCTCCAACCACAAAATTGATGTCTCTTTCAAGATTCTTCTATCCACATCCAGCTCTGACTCCAGATATAGTTGAAGTTTGAGATTCTCTCTGGAACAATCCTAGTCTTTATAGTTGTATTTGTCCATTCTCTGTTACTATAATGAGATACTTGGGGCTGGGCCATTTATCAAGAAAAGAGGTTTAGTTAGCTCACAGTTTTGAGAGGTAAAGTCCAAACAGCATGGTGCAGGCTCTGGTGAGGACCCTCCTGACTATGTCACATAATGATGGATGGCATTACAAAGTTAAGAATGCATACAAGTAAGTGGGCGAGATTATTTAATGAGACCAGAAGTCAGAGCAGGCAGGGGGGGTTCTTGACATAAGAACCAACTCAGGGG